TCCAGCCTGAGAAAAAAAAAAAAAAAAAAAAAAAAAAAGTGTGAGAAAAGCACAACAAAATACAAAGAGGGAATTTTTGGTTTTTTGTTTGTTTATTTTTAGAGATAGGGTCTCACTCTGTTGCCCAGGCTAGAGTGCAGTGGCACGATCACAGCTCACTGCAGGCTCGACCTCCTGGGCTCAAGCAATCCTCCCACTTCGGCATCCTGAGAAGTTGGGAAGCATGCCACCATACCCAACTAAGTTTTTTGTAGAGATGAGTCTCCCTGTGTTGTCCTGGCTGGTCTCAAACTTTCGGACACAAATGATCCTCCTGCCTTGGCCTCCCAAAGGGCTGGGATTACAAGCATGAGCCACGGTGCCTAGCCCAAAGAGAGAATTTAATATGACCTTCAACCCACCACCCAGACATAACGACTGGCAGCATTTGCTTGTTTTTGTTGTACTTGCTTTTGAGCATGTCAAGAGGCAGTTTTAAGTCATAGAGGCCACCCTTGCTCCTATCTGGAGGTGTCCCCCCAGTGCTCTTCCCCACTGTTAGCTTCTAGGTGGGTATCTGGAGCTGTTGGCATCTGGACCAGGATTTTTAGAAATCAAGTTAAAGAACAACCAGAAGAAAATATAATTAAATATTGGTCCAACATGGTGGCTCACACCTGTTATCCCAGCACTTTGAGAGCGTGAGGTGGGGAGATCACTTGAGGTCAGGAGTTCAAGACCAGCATGGCCAAGATGGTGAAACCCCATCTCTACTAAAAATACAAGCCGGGATAAGGCGCAGTGGCTCACGCCTGTAATTCAAGCACTTTGGAGGCCAAGGTGGGCGGATCACCTGAAGTCAGGAGTTCAAGGCCAGCCTGACCAACATGGTGAAACCCCGTCTTAAAAAAAAAAAAAAAAATACAAGCCGGACACGGTGGCTCATGCCTGTAATCCCAGTACTTTGGGAGGCCAAGACAAGCTGATCACCTGAGATTGGGAGTTCAAGACCAGCCTGACCAACATGGATAAACCCCATCTCTACTAAAAATACAACATTAGCCAGGTGTGGTGGCACAAACATGTAATCTCAGCTACTTGGGAGGCTGAGGCAGGAGAATGACTTGAACCTGGGAGGCGGAGTTTGCGGTGAGCTGAAATTGCACCATTGCACTCCAGCCTGGGCAAGCAAAACTCTGTCTGAAAACAACAAAACAAAATTTATCCAGGCACATGCATGTAATCCCAGCTAATGGGGAGGCTGAGGCAGAAAAATCACTTGAACCCAGGAGGCGGAGGTTACAGTGAGCTGAGATCATGCCACTGTACTTCAGTCTGGGTAACAGAGTAAGACTCTGTCTCAAAAAGAAAAAAAAAAACAAAAACTTCAATGAGTCTAAAAATAAATAAAATCACAAGAAAAGTTCACATACCCAAGTGACTGAATGGGCAGAGGCTCCAAATTAATAATAAAGAAGCAGCCAGGCACAGTGGCTCCTGCCTGAGGTGGGTGGATCACGTGGTCAGGAGATCGAGACCATCCTGGCGAACACGGTGAAACCTCATCTCTACTAAAAATACAAAAAATTAGCTGGGCGTGGTAGCACATGCCTGTGGTCCCAGCTACTCGGGAGGCTGAAGCAGGAGAACCGCTCAAACCCAGGAGACAGAGCTTGCAGTGAGCCAAGATCATGTCATTGCATCCAACCTGAGTGACAGAGCAAGACTGTCTCAAAAAAAAAAAAAAGAAAAGCCTTTAGCCAGGTGTGGTGGCTCATGCCTGTAATCCCAGAACTTTGGGAGGCTGAGGTAGATGGATCACCTGAGGTCAGGAGTTTGAGACCAGCCTGGCCAACATGGCAAAACCTGATTCTACTAAAAATACAAAAATTAGCCGGGTGTGGTAGCAGGTGCCTGTAGTCCCATCTACTCAGGAGGCTGAAGAATGAAATAGCTGGGTGGAGGTTGCAGTGAGCTAAGATCGAACCACAGAGTGAGACTCTGTCTCCAAAAAAAAAAAAAAAAAAAAAAAAAGCCACACCTATATTAGTCACATGCTCTTGGCTAAGAAACCCAATAAAACCAGTCAAGAAAGGCCATTTCTCATCTCTCATAGCAAATATATGTGTGCACGTAAATATTTTTTTATCTGGGGATGCCTAATGGTGGCAAACCCTGTTGGGGTCTGTGGACAGTACTTCTGGAGGACAATTTGGTAACAGCTTTAAAAAAAAATTGGGCAGGGGGCCGGGCACGGTGGCTCAAGCTTGTAATCCCAGCACTTTGGGAGGCCGAGGCGGGTGGATCACGAGGTCAAGAGATCGAGACCATCCTGGTCAACACGGTGAAACCCCGTCTCTACTAA